GGAGAGTGATTTTTTAAAAGATTATTACTTAACATAGGTAATTGATAATGACATAAGTATCCATGATTACTTTCTATTGATGTTTTACTAGAAATTTGAACAAAGTCACTATGTTGATCTCGTTTGGAATTTTGGTATTTCTGCCACAGTAATGTTTCTAAACCTCAAAACTTTAGGTTAGCTTATCTCAGTTGTAACGGTCTCTCTGTAAATTTAAAATATTCTTTAATGTAATAAGGGGTAGTGCTACATGGGGACCAAAGGAGCCTTGGCCTTTTTCTGAAGAATACAAAAAGTCTAGGGGATAATTGGTAAATAATTTCATAAATCTTAATTGCAACATCCCTCATACTTTCTCAAAGTCCTTTGCTTGATTAAGGGAATGCACCGGCCTCTGAATGGGATAACAAGAAACATATGCTTTTTTGTTTTTATGCCACTAAGCAAAGATGGATTTTAGGTTCTTTGGATTTAGGTGGACTTGTGGTTTGGAGAAACTAATAAAGAAGATGAACAATGCCCCTACTTTTGTGGTTTTTAGCTCTTTGGCTTCTAGTGGAAGAGGATGGTTGTTTGGTGTTTTTAGGGGCAATGGTGTTTGGTGTTTTGTAGGGGTGAGCATAGTTCTGTTGGAACCGATCAAACTGGCTGAGCCGCCCGATTTTGGGCAGTTCGATGCGGTTCTTCTCTTTAGTTTCGGTTGGGTCGGGGTTAGCGGTTGTAGATCGGTAACAACCGAATCAACTGAGAACCCTCTCCAAATGCAGCCAATAAGTATGACGTATTTGCGGTTCTCTCACATTTTCAATGGGGCCTTACGTACCTACGTGAATGGCTAATTTCTCTCTCCAACTCAATATTAGCTGTCATGGTGAATATTTATAGAAAGAGAGAATCGGTTCCAACTTTTGTTCTCTTCTTTAAAACACACAAAAAGGAGCCATAGCCATTCTCTCCTCTCACGAGTCACGAGGTAGGTGCCATTATCAAATTCCAACCTCCATTAGCTACTTTCCCTCCCATGTTCTTCAATTTTTAATCAAACTTAGAGCTTTGTGCTTCAGTCTTTAATCAAACTCAAAGCCTAAACCTTCGCCTCTGTAGTTATTTGGTTTCACTCACAGTAACTTTGTGTTGCTGTTTTTGTGTTGGGCCTATAGCAATCAAACAAATCAATTGAACCAAATCGAAAATTTTCGGTTCGGTTCAGTTTGGTCCGGTTTTATCATTCAATTTAGTTCGGTTCAGTTTGATAAAAATGACTAAAATCGACCGAACCGACCATTTGCTCTCCCCTAGTGTTTTATGGATGGAAAGTAACAATAAGTCACAGGCCTTATGAAAATATTGGTGTTTTTAATTTTTTATTAAATAAAAGGCTATTAATTTGGAGATAATTGATGAGTAAGATTAATTACTAATAAGAACTAAATATGTTTCATACAACCATCAAGACTACCAAATTTTTTTAACCATCCCCTTTAATCTTCAATATTTTGATATTAACCACCCTAAATCTTTGAAATTGCTCTCAGGGCCCCCTAAATCTTCAATATTGTGACATTAGCCCCCTAAATCTTTGAAATTGATTTCAAGTTGCCCCCCAAAAAATCCTATTAGTATATTGAAATAAGCTCTCTAGTTAAAATTTGGTCGAAATATAGGAAAATATTCTGTTTACATTAACTTTTTCATTGATTTGCTAGTTATATTCCTCTCACACAAACCCAAGCCTATTAACCACTTTAATTTATATTCGTTAAGCTCTCCAAATCCGTTTAATAAAACCCTAGTCCAAACCCATTTCCATTTGATCTTCTCCAATGTCTTTCCCAACAGCTCTTTTTGGTTCTAATCTCAAATTTGCATCGGATAAAATTTTTGTTGCCAAAGATGTTAGAGAAAACGCTGGGGAATATGAAGTGGAAAATGAGTTTTGCTTAGGGTTTTGTTAAACGGATTTGGAAATCTTAACGGGCACAAGTTGAAGTGGTTAATGAGTCTGGGTTTGTGTGAGGGGTATAACTAGCAAATCACCGAAAAAGTTAAATTGAACAAAATATTTTCCCCATATTAACTAAGGGGCTTATTTCAACATACTAATAGGATCTGGGGAGCTTGAGATCAATTTCAGAGATTTGGGGGTCTAATATTGAAGTAATGAATATTTAGGAGGGTTGAGATCAATTTTAAAAAATTGGAGGTGTAATATCGATATATTGAAGATTTAGGGGTCTACTATCGAAATAACCCTAGAATCTTATCTCTACTAATATTTCAAAAATTCAAAACTAGAATTTAAAAACCAAATCATGATCTAATCCTACTAAAATTCAAAATTCGAAATAACTTCATCCTAAATAATCTAGATCAATGTTTTAAAAAGCGGACATCTAACCCACCTAGTCTTCCGCTTAGGCCTATGCGATACCTAGGCTGCCCATCCCAGTCTTAGGAGCGCTTATGGGAGTGTGGGCCACTTACGCAGATTGCATCGCTGAGGTCTTGGTCTTGATTTCTTTCGCTGCAGCCTTCAGGTCTTCTAACCTCCTTCAACCCCCTCCACTAACTAACATTTCCCCTACTTCCTCCAATTTTCAGTAAACCTCCTGCACCACCACTTAAATAAAGAAAGAAATATGCCTATAGGCACCAGGTGCCTAGCGATGCCTAGCGCTTTCTATAACATTACTATTTATAACCAATTATTATAACTAAAAATAAAAAAAGGAAAACCACCCAGGCCCACCTAGGCTTTAGGCGTTGGGTCCTATGCCTAGGCTGCCTAGTGCTTTCAGCTCAATCTAATCAAATATCCTATCTAATCTAAATTCATAAAATGGCTTTAATAAATGAATGCAAGAAGAATATTATTGAGCACACTAAATTATAAATTGAAATCTAATTTTGAAAGTCTTGTTTTGTAATGTTGTTTAGGTACTAATCAATCATGAAGAAAGTTTATATTTTATTGTATTTAATTATTAAGTTCTTTGGACCCCCTTACCAATATTCCTGGCTCCGCTACTGAATGTAATGAGGGTTCATTACAAAAGCTAACATCTCACATCTCAATCAGATTTCATTGATTTGGAGATCAACAAGTAAAACCACCAAAACAAGTCCTAAACTGAAAGAAGCTAGTTGAATAGTAATTAAATACTAGAGATTTTGAAGTTCATCCAAAAAACTGATGGAAAACACTATCTTGATAATTCAACTTTATAATCTCCTTCGAGACTTAATCTATGTTTTGAGGATCATAACTAGCAAATTAACCATATTATCTAAAATTCTAAATAGTTTTTAATACTTCAAATTGTCCTGAAAGTATTGTGTGCATGCTGTTGCTGTATGATATTCTGTACTGAAGATATGCACAAGGAAGACTTGACACTGGGTTTTCAAGTCTTGGTGTGGGCGATACTTGTATTGATTTGGGCTACCAATATTTGGATCTTGGTATTGAGATTTTCCACTGTTGATAGTTTTTGATAGGAAATATGGGCTTGTCTACATTAGCAGCCTAATTAAAAAAAAAAACAAAAAAGATTATATAGTGGAGGACATGCAATTATCAATATCTTTTTACAATTTCTTGTTTATATCAGTTTATTAGCAGCGTGCTATATCTAACTGGCGTGACAAATACCCCTCTATTTTTATGGTCAAGTTAAAATCGGACCCGATATGGGCAACACATGTCCTCATTGCCCAATTTTCTAAATTTTGCTTGACTTGTTATACCTGAAAGTCAATAGTTCTTTGAAAATAGTTGCAATTATTTGTCTTAAATTTTGATTAGCCTTTTACCCTGTAGTTTGTTCATCCAGCAAGGATAGCAAGGTTGAGATTTCGCGAAATAATGGGCAATTCTCTGCAAAATGCTGAGTCGCAGGAGCTTTCTATAGTTATGCCTGGTGCGGTTGCACGCTTTGATGGATCAGATATCCAGGTTTCCTCTCCATAAAAGCATTTTTACTGATGATTAATCATGTCTTAAAATATCTGTAAGGCTTGATTTTCATGCTGAACCTTTGAGTTTTAGAGCTTGCTCCAAAGATGGTTTCAAGAGGCACGCTCACGAATATGGGAAGATTTGAAGGATCCAGAGGATGAAAGCTCCTTTGGAAGAATACCCTTTCAGCTATGGAATGTTGGCAAGTTCGGGTCTTCAGTTGATGCTGCAATTGTTGGTCTAATGCCGCCTCCACTCTTGGAGCTTCAGGTGAATTGGTCTTTTTGGTGATCTTTTCCTTTTTAATCATACTTTAAGGAATTTGAAATAAGTGCAATCCTGTCAGTTCCTTTCTTATAGTCTGCTGTGCGCTCATTGTTATGAAAGATGATTTTAATGGAAGCTCTCTAAGGCTATTCTGGTATTGAATTCAGCTACTTTTATTGCTGGGCAGTCGAATCAGCGTTACTACTGTGCAGTTACCATAGGAGATGATGCAGTTGTTTCAGCGTACAGGTGAGTTCAACATTGCTTTCTGTGGCCACTGATAACGTATACAGCTTTAAAAGAGCTAATTTCCATATATACAGAAATTGTTATGAAAACACACTCGGGTTAATGTAGGTTGTCAGTAGACAGGAGCAGATCCTTGGTTGGAACTATTCTGTCAAAGGTTTTGCCTGCAACATTTTCAACCCTGATATCATTTTCCAAAATGATTTGGCGGAGTGAGCAGCCATCCACTAGAAAGTCACATATCACATCTCAGCCATTTGCCAAAGGTCTTTTATATAGTGATATTCCTCTTGTTGCCTTATTTATTTTACTGCTCTAGTGCTTTATACATAAATCTCTATGCTGCATCACTAAGTTTAAAGTTTTATTAAGGAAAAGTTAATGCATTGCTAAAGGTTAATCTTGATTTATTGACATGGACATGAGATTAACGTTGGTTTCAATCGAGCACTTTTTGAACTTAGAGATGCAGACATATAGTAGGTTTTGAGTACACATACACTAGGTAAATCACGGTGCATGGTCATTGACTAATACTTCAAAAAACAAACGGGTTGGTCAAAAGTGGGAGGGGTATGCTTACTGATACAAGGGATGCTGTGAATGGGTGTAGAATAGGCACCATGGTCTCTGCCCTTTTTTTCCGCATGAGCTGCCACGAGGCAATTTAATGGGTGACGTCACTTAATATTGAACCATCTTCTGAAAATGATCAACAGGCTTTGACTTTGTTTTCCGCAGCTAAGGCTTGGAAGCCACTGCTGCTATGGTAAGGGAACTGATCATTTGGAAACTCAATAATAATTAATGCACAGTGCAAGGATGTTTTGTTAATTTAAAAGTTTTCTGGAACAGTAAGCTGTAAAGATTGGAAGTCTGCCTGTTCAAAGGCTTTATGATCATAATAGTGATATCGTTATTCCGCTTCTACTTATGACAATGATTCATCAATATAACTGCAAAATAGACGTTCGAAATTGGTGACTTTTACCCTCATAGTGTCTATGTTTATTCTATACTTTTGTGTTTTGACTTTTTACTGAGTTTCTTATTGGAAGCTGTCACTTTGCATGGGTTATGCTTCAATCAGTCACTCAAAAAAAAAAAAAAAAAGCATGAGGTCAAAACAAAAAATGGAGTACTTCTTTGAACTGCACATTGTAATAAGAAATCACTTATTAAAAATATCAGACTAATGTTTCCCATTATTTCTTAGAACACGGTCAACCAGCTGTCAGACATTACTTTCAAGTTTATTGCAAATGATCATATTCTGGTTATTGGAAAAAATAGTAAAATACATTTCACTTGCAGTAACAAAAGCCAACACTATTGCGAGTAAGAAAAGTGTATCAAACAAAAAGATGCATAGTATTTATTTTGCAAAATTATCTTATGCACTATATACTATTGCCCTAAAAAAATTACCTGGGCACATAATTATCTATTTTTGGCTTTGCAGGCATCATTTTCTCCTCTGTAATTGTGTTCTAATAGAATACAGATAAAATCCTTGTTGTTAAGCTCTCAGGAAGAATCTCCTGCGATTCCTAAATTGGAGGATAAGACAGATTTCTGGTTACATGATTCTTAAAAACCGTCGCCTGTTAATCACTGTTTTAAAAAACCTCCGCCTAGTCTGCTTAGGCGTACGCATAGGCCTAGACGGTCCCTAGGCCGTCTAACTAGCGCTTAGTGCCTAGGCGGTATTTAGGCTGCCCACCTAGATTTTACAAGCGTTTAGGGGAGCATTGTCTGCTTACGTGGATTACACCCTATAGGCCTTGGTTGTGATTTTATATGTTGTATCCTACACGTCCTCCAAACTCCATTAACCTCCAAATATGAACACATCCACCACCTCCTCCGACCTTCAGCAAAACCTCATCGACCACCACTACTTAAATGAAGAAAGAAATCCGCTTAGACACCAGTCTGACATCTAAGCTTTCTATAACGTTGACATTCACTATCGATTATTGTAATTAAAAATAAAAAAAGAAAACATCTTAGGCTCTAGTCTTGTTAATTATTATTTTGGCTATTTAGTATCTAAGTATGCATGATTTATTGTGGAACTAAGATGACTATTTTTTTTAAATTTATATGAATTTAATACATATTTTTATTAATTATTATAATTAAATAATTTAAAAATATTCAAACGTCTAGGCGCTGCTTAGGCGTACACCCAGGGGTCTAGACGCTAGGCGCTCGCTCAAACGCCTAGTCTGCCTAGTGCCTGCTGTAACATTGCTGAGCTCCCCTGATCTCTGTAACTACTAACAAGGTAAAAAGTACTTCTTAAATATATATTTAAGTTAGTTAACAACATCAACTTAAACTTAAGAAGGGTAAGTTAACAGTAAACTTAAATTTAAGTGAAACTTAAGTTTAAGCTAACAGTGAACTTAAGTTTAAGTTTAAGTTAATATTAAGTTTTTTGTTGATGGTAAACTTAAGTTTAAGTAAACAGTAAACTTAAGTTAACAATATTTTAGTTAACAGTAAACTTAAGTTTAAGTTTATTGTTAACTTAAACTTAACAGTAACTTATAAGTTAACAGTAATTTGAGTTGAGAATGAGTTTTTCACTGTTGAGATGAACTTATAATTTGAGTTGAGAAGTATAAACATACAAAGAGCTATTGTAATTGGTAAACCAAAAAATTCAGTTAATAGTGTTGGTATTTTATCATTTATGCATCTTTGATTGAGTATATCTATATTTATCTTCAAGTATCACAATTAAAAAAAAAAAAAAAACGTTCAGAAACCGCTTAGGCACCCGCCTAGGCGACTAAGCGCTAGGAGTCAAGTCCGACGCCTAGAAACGCTCAACGTTTAATGTAACATTGCTGTTAATACTTTCGAAAAAGATGTCTTACAACACTATAAAGCTTTTCCTACAAAGTTTACTAGCCTCCCTGGGTATTCATGTGCCAGTTTCAGGATTGGGATCTTGTTCATTCTTCAGTCATCCCCTAGCCTCTTCTACTGGTTGTCTCCTTTCCTCTTTACGAAGCTAGTCCTTTGAGCAAATCCCATTTCCATCACCAAGAGAGGCAATACAAGCAGGAAAGTACTCTGTTCAAAAGCAGTTAGCAAAGGGATTGATATTAACTCAATTTATGGCTAATCGATCATTAAAGATAGGAAATGAAAATCTATACTACTTATAAAAGAGAATACACATGTCAAAACTTTTGATTTCCTTTTTTGCCCTCTCAAATTTTGATAATTTGCAATATACCATTACTTACTTCTAATTAGTCTTTAACTAATTATATATAATATCTTATTAATTAGGACCTTTTTACTTTCCCATATATTTAGGCATTCACTAAAATGTAATTAATATAAATACCTTTACAATGATAAGAAAATTACTTTCCCATATATTTAGGCATTCACTAAAATGTAATTAATATAAATACCTTTACAATGATAAGAAAATTTATAAAATATGTTATAATTTATTAGCTAAAATGTAATTAATATAAATACCTTTACAATGATAAGAAAATTTATAAAATATGTTATAATTTATTAGATAATTATAGATAATTATTGATTATAATAAAATAGTATAAAATCGTTAGTTTAATAAAATATTTCGTAAAATAACTATACATAACTTATTAAATAGTATATTATTAAATTGTTAAATGCCTATTTATAAATTATAATAAAATAATTTTCTTAACAAGTATATTGCCATCCACTACTTATAAATATGTTATTAAATTGTTAGATTCCTATTTATAAATTATAATAAAGTAATAAAATATTATTATAAATAAAATGACACACTATTAAATATTCTTAAAAAGTTTATTATCATTCAATAAATACAAATAAAATTGTATAAATATTTAATAGTAATATAATTATTTTAATATTATAGATTAACTAAGAATTACACTATTAGTTAATACATTAGAGGGAATAATAGTATTATAATTATACTACATATAAATAATATAAATAAGAATAGTTATAAATAGCATATAATTTAGTATAGCTATTCTAAGTTACAAATAAAAATATTATATTATATATTATAATATTAACTAATTACTTAATTTGTGATAAGTATCTAAATAAATTATGATTAAATTGTAATAATTATCTAAAATATAAAAATTACTCATACAATTCTATATACACAACTTTATTTATTAATGTAAAAATTTATTAATTGTTCAATTTATGAATTTATATTATTATAAAAGTCATTTCATAATTTTGCACTCAAAGAAAAAGAATTGAAGACAAAAAATAGTATGTCCACGTGCAAAGTACATGCATTATACTAGTTACTAATAACAAGGTCCTGACGTCGATGTAACTCCAGTGTCCTAACATTCTAAAGTAAGCTCACTCATCATATTATTGATAGGAGTATTACGATAAATTGGTCGATGTAACTCCAGTGTCCTAACATTCTAAAGTAAGCTCACTCATCATATTATTGATAGGAGTATTACGATAAATTGGTATTTTGTAATGATGTACCATATAATATGTAGTAGCATACAACACTAATTTATAAGGATTACAAGTTTCTTATCTAGAAGTAGCAATTAATTTGGGGTTATGTTTCAAAATAAAAAAAAGTTGAATTCCTTTTACCTTTAATTAACATAGATAATAGGTAGTTGAAAGTCATCATCCCTGCCGCTGTTTATCCTAATCACGCAGAATCTGTGGACCCATGTACTCCTTGATTAAAATATTATTATCAGAACCCTTAGTTTCAAGATGGTTGAGTGTTTCATGTGTAAAAAACGTACCGAAAGCTACTACATCTTGGTTTAAGCAATCAGGTGATTCTATGACCACACGCTTATGTGTCACCTTCCTCAAAAGAAAACAACACAGAGATGTATATTTAACCTAACTGCCACTCTCATGAGATAGTAATATATGCATGTGATAGAACAAACACCATCCTAGTTGTAACTTCCCTTGTATTTTTTTCAACCATCTTCACTATGAAAAATGGCTGGTGACTTAATTCTGTCAGTATAATTTGTGGCAGCTTCACCTTTGACATGTTTAAAGGATCCTCCAAGGAAGGGAGAAAAGCTAACGTTGTCTCCAAGTGGTTCGTTGGCTGCTATAACAGACTCTCTTGGTCGTATTCTTTTGCTGGACACTCAGGCACTTGTGGTTGTGCGATTATGGAAGGTAACATTTCTCATTAAATTAAATAGATTCTTTCCCGTAACCTCCTCATTCTCCTTTTAACCATGTCTAAACAAGTGATCATTCTTCAGGGATATCGTGATGCTTCCTGCCTTTTTATGGAGATGTTGGTGGACAAAGATAAGGCTTCATCAAGTTCCACTTTCTATGAACACACCAAAAGTGATTATTGCTTGTGTTTAGCAATTCATGCACCTCGGAAAGGGATAATTGAGGTACTGTTAATCTTTTCCCTCTTGCAACCTTTTCATTTTTCTACCTGGAATATAACCTTGTAGTGCCACTACTATTTGTTCATCCTTATTGTCATATTTACATTATTCAAAAGCATTGACAACAACTGAAATCATTCCTGGATAGCCTAAGAAACAAACAAAATTGTTTATGAATCGCTGACGTGAAGTTAAGACAGTATTCACGATCCTTATGTTGATTATCCTATAATAATTTATACGTACTGTAAACTTTTAACTTAAAGAAAACATAGCAAATGAGCCTTATGTTTCATATTTTCTAACCTTTGACCTAATTGCTGATGCTATCATCAGTCTTCAAAGCTGCTATGTTCTTTTAAGTCCTTATTCTTCTTCTTAAATTGTGTTAATAGGCTATTGTACTTGCATACCAATTCTGAATTCTTCCTGAATATTTGTGGCTTTATGGATTTTTGAGATCTCAAATTTCTAATGCTCCCCAAATTATTCCCCATATGCCTCTGTGACCGTGATCATTATTGCCTCATACAATCCAATGGGATGAGCTAAGGAGCTTACTTCTATTTGGGAAATTCCAAAGAAGGATGTACCATCTTATGAATGATTGGTGAACCTTATGCCAGACCTCTTATGTCAAGTTTGTCATGCAGAAGCTGTGAGGAAAGGAGAGCTGGCTAAAACCCTGAAAGCTAGTTAATGTTATAGAAACCACGTTTCGACATGTGAACCAGGAACAACACTGTAGAGCTCTTCCACACTAAGAGTCTAGATGAAGGGGTTAAAATAAAATGTATTTTTACGCGATTCATATAGAAGAATCCACTAGTATCCAGACCCGTGCAAAGCATGGCCCTTAACTGTCCATTGCTCATCTTTGTTAATTTAGCACAGCTAGTGTTGTTGATAATTAATTACGTGGGCTTTGTGTACATACCAATGGATAAAAATGAGTGCCTAAACCTCACTAACTCAAGTAACAACTATTAACTCATTTCATATCTACTACTATTAGCAAACATCTAAAGTGCCATCAATTCTCCCACTTTTGTAGCAAAAAGATCCATAATATTTTAAGTTAAATGAAAACCCATGACACTAAACAAAAAAAATCCTTAAGTTTCCCAAATCAAACAAAAGAAACACTATACGAGGTAGCCTTTGTGAAGTCAATACCAATAATTAAAACAATCCTCAACGAACATATTTGATATGCTTAACTGAAAATCAGTGAAATTTTTGACACTAGGTAAAATGTTCAGGATGAAAAGCGAGGATTTCTTGCTACTCTTTTTGAGTTCTTGCGACCTCGAGAACTTTTCTGGGTTTCGACGACGATTCTTTTTTATTAATCTTAAGCTTCTAATTTTGATGGGTGGTTGAACTTGAACTTAATATGACATAAGTATTAAACAATGAATAAAATATATATGTCCAAGAGTTGAACATAATGTACTGCACTTAAGGTTAAAAAACTTCTAAGCATCTTTGACATAGTAAATAATTCAAATTCAAAGAGCACTACTCGATCTTTTGTACAAACATAATACTCAACTAACAATTGCCAATTGCAATGGTTGAAAAATATGTTTTTCTTTTATTTTGCTGCCAAACTCATCCACTGCTTTTAATAGTACAATGTTCAACATGTGCAATGCAATTATACTTTTCAATTAGCATATTCACAAAGGAGAACTTCTCCAAATTGAACTAAGAACTCACAGTATGCCTAAGATCGGATAAAATCAATTAAGATCTAATAATTATAAATTAACCCAAAATTGCGAAGTTAAAAAGTTTATCAAAAAGACTCAAAAGTTGATGGATCTAATTTAATGTTAGAAGCAAAACAGATTCAATGATGTTTGAAGTGAGCATAAAAGAAAGTAACATTGTTTGAGGTTTATGAGTTCCTACATAAATCACCCGGAAAACGAATGAGAAAAAAAAAAATCAGACCCGAGCTAAGAATGAACTCAAAACAACCACCCCCCTCAATAAAAAATAAAAAATAAAAAATAAAAATAAAAATAAAAAAATAAAAAATAAAAAAATAAAAATAAAAATAAAAAAATAAAAAATAAAAAAATAAAAATAAAAAGAGATGAATGCAACTAAAAATCATAATACTGCCAAGAGGTAATATATTTTTGTATCCTAATTAATCTATGTGCTATATTACTGTTTATATACATATATATGCAAGTAGGTAGTGAATAAGTTAATATATCAAAGGGAAGAATAAACCTTGATAATGGATGGTTATCACTCCCTAGAAATGTTTTCGCAAGTTCCTCTTCTTGATTGCAATTGCAAGTGATGTAGCATGCTGATGTGGAAAATTAATGGGAAGCAACAATATGATTCATTGATACTAACATTTCTCCGAACAAATAACTATTATAAATATTATATGTTTTACCTTAAAATCTAACTAAGAGTTTATAATCTCAAAAGTTGGACCTCTACTACATTCAAAAAAGTCCAAAATTAAACAAACATGTTATTGGGAAAGAGCTCTAAACATTTAGACATAATTTCCAAGCAAATATAATAAAATAACGACCACAACTTTTCCTTCAAATGACAAAGAAATGGTTGTTGCTTCTTCTTTTTGAAGATTGAGGGAAAAAATTCATAATTAAAAGAAGTAATTAAATTACAAGAAAATAGTTAAAATTTAAATAAGTCAAATAGGTAAATTACATGCATGTCCTCTGTCATAATCATGATTGCAACATTGATACTACAATGATAATATAACCTCATCAAGTTAAGACCAAAGTAATCACCACTTTATAGAACTCATCAACAAAAGTGGTTTTTGTTTATTAACCCAAAGTTTTACTTTGACTTATTTTTAAATCCATCTACTTTTAAAATCACTCATACACCCAATAGATCTCCAACCGCTTATTTTTAAACCAAAGTATCATATTTTAGTGCTAATATATACATTATCACTTTAAAAAGTTACAACTTCCCAAAAATTCCCTTCTCTGATCTCAAGACAACCTAACTCCATGGCCGCTTGCAAGCAGTCCCTTTGCTTTGTCACTCAATTAAACGAATCTATGTTCTCTCTGTCGGGATCACCGTAGCCGCGACCATCACCGAGTCGCTACTTTGTCTTTGAAAATTCGTCCCCATTCACTCCTCTTCTTGCTTCCTATTTGATCCATTGGTTTCTGGTTACTTCTTGGTCCATCGTGTGATTAAGCGTGGTTCTTGGCGATTGTTTTTTGCATTCAGTTAAGAAAATCTTATTATCCTATATGCATAACAATTTTGCTTATATGTATCTAAGTTTTGGTGACAAGCTTTATGCATGAAAGGTGTTTGATGGAATGACAAGAGAGATATAGTTATTTGGACCATAATGATTAGCAGTGTCAGGGTTGGTTGAGGAGGCAATGGAGGTGTTTGATGAAATGTTCAAGAGAAGTTCGATTTTGTGGAATGTGATGATTGAGGATTATGTGCAGATAGAACATCCGAGAAGGTTGATAGAATTGTATTCTGATTGTACATACTGTATATCTTTGTGAGATATTGATATTTGGTGATTTAATTAGAGTTTTAATGTCAATTTCTTGAATAAATGGTTGATACTATAACCATTTTTAGAGCTTTGCACACTAAGGTATGCAATGGCTATTATGTACATATGTTGGTGGTTTTATCAATGAAAATACTTGCTTACTGACATTGCTAACAAAAACTAATTTGATTTATTCCACTAAGTATTAGAATTTTCAGAGACCTTGATTTATTCCACTAAATATCAGAATTTTTAAAGACCATAAAGAGCTATATTATAGCCATAAAAAGCTATACTTTAGTCTAAAGAGTTATACTTTCATCATAAGGTGCTACACTTTATTATAAAGAGCTATATTTTTTTTAAAATTTGAAAAAGTGAAAGTGAACCTGTAGGTTACATGAAGAACATGTGGGTTACATGAAGAATTGATCAAACAATACATATTATACATCTTCACACCTTTATATTGCTCATAAAAAACTAATTTGATTTATTCCACTAAGTATCAGAATTTTCAGAGACCATAAAGAGCTATACCATGGTCATAAAGAGCTATACTTTACGTAAAGAGCTATACCTTCATTATAAGGTTCTACACTTTATTATAAGGAGCAATATTTTCCCAAAATTTGAAAAAGTGAGAGTGGACCTGTGGGTTACATGAAGAATTGATCAAACAATACATATTATACATCTTCACATCTTTATATTGCTCAGAAAAAAACTGATTTGATTTATTTCAATAAGTATTAGAATTTTTAGAGACCATAAAGAGCTATACTTTATTCATAAAGAGCTATATTTTAGTGTAAAGAGCTATACTTTCATCATAAGGTGCTACATTTTATTTTAAAGAGCTATACTTTCCCAAATTAAAAAAAAGAGTGGATCTGCGGGTTACATGAAGAATTGATCAAACAATACATATTATACATCTTCACACATTTACATTGCTCAGAAAAAACTGATTTGATTTATTTCACTAAGTATCAGAATTTTCAGAGACCATAAAGAGCTACACTTTATCCATAAAGAGCTATACTATGGCTATAAAGAGTTATACTTTAGCATAAAGAACTATACTTTCATCATAAGATGCTACACTTTATTATAAAGAGCTATACTTTCTCAAAATTTAAAAAATGAGAGTGGTCCTGTGGGTTACATGAAGAATTGATCAAACAACACATTATACATCTTCACACATACATTGCTCAGAAAAAAAAACTGATTTGAGGATGTATAAATAAAATACAATCATCGTAGATTAGGTGTAAGTTTTGAACATGTCAGTAAGCAAGTATTTTCATTGATAAAACCACCAACATATGTACATGATAACCCGTTCATGCATTGGTGCGCAAAGCTCTAAAAATGGCAACAACATCAACCATTTGTTCAAGAAATTGAAAATAAAACTCTAACTAAATCACCACATATCAATGTCTCACAAAGATAT